AGGTTGTGTTTATACAAGCTAGGTAAAGCATACTTCAGTGCTTGTATCGTTGGGCTCATCGTGAAGGCCTTGGAGATACTGAAAGCTAAACTGGTGAAGGCCCTGAAGGGCCTGCCCTAGGCTGAGTCTGTCTTGATCCTCTGCTCCTCTGACTGGACAGGCAACATCCAGAGGTCCCTTCCCACCTGTATGATTCAGTGACTCTCAACTGTAAAAGTTTGACTGTGTTAACAAAGCTTTTGAGGACCAAACCTTCACTCAAGTTGTACCAAAAACCAGAAGTCCATGCCCTTACGTAGAAACAGTAACGCCTGTAAGAACAGCATCATCTGGAGTCAAATTACAGTAGTTTCAACATCTTTGTTCCCATAACACAAAGCCTGACAACAGCACCAGCCACCTTGTACCTTCCACTGTGACTATTTCCTAACACTTAAATGCTTCAGGGTTATTTTAGTAATGCTCCCATTCCAGCAGAAAGCTGGGAAACAGGACACTTCTGCCTGTCTCATTCAAAGCCAAAATGACCCTTTACGGATCAAGACAGCTGGAAGGTCAGAGACCACTTTTACATCTCATAGGTTACAAGCCCACCTGGAAGAGCCCACGCCAGGCATTCAGCCACTGACAGACAGCTCAGGCTTCCATGGGGCTGCCAGCTCTCAGGGTCAAGGTATGTTGGACCCTTCAAAATGTCTGCTCAATGTTATCAGCTTTACATCCTATTCCAGTAATCCCAGTTCCTGCTGTTTGCGAAGGAAACTCCTCGGAGTAAGGTTAAGGCACAGGGCAATGTGCAGAGACCTTAATTATCTCTTATCTCACCCAAACTCTTTGCTGAACTAGATAAACCTGCCACGTGCCTACCTAACAACTGAGCTCACCAACGGCAACAGGTTCCTCTCTGCTTTCTCTCGTCCTCCTCTCCGTCCCGCCTCTGTAGGCTGACCCAGCTGCTGTTCCTCTTCCTCTACTGAGAACGCATGATGTTGACTTAAAATTCTCCAAAATCTATTGCGTAATCTTAAAATATGTCGGACGAGGAAGCCCTGATTTCCTAAGTCTTGCATGCCCCACCTCAGAGTATGGTTATGGTAAAGGCCGTCCTTCCCATCCCCTCCGCAAAATGCGTTTAACAGCCTCGGAGGAAAATACCTGTCTTAGTCCAGACTCTGTAAGCGCTTCAGGTCGTAGAAAAGTTGTTTTTGACAACAGTGTAGAATATACACATTTTATACCCAGACGAGTGACTTACAGGAGAAGACACACACCACCTTCCAAGCTAGCAGCACCAGGCACCCTAGGTCAGTCCTGGTGAACTGTCTTTGAAGGACGATTTTGCTCCAGTTGCCAGGACTGCCTGCCCTCCAGAGAAATGGGGCTCACCAGTAAGCACCCAGCACAGCCCCAACCTCCTTCTTGTAAATTCTCCCACAGTTACAAAGACACCTGGGACATGAACCCCAGATCTGCTATCTGGGAAGCCCGACCTTGTTACGCCTCCACACCTCGTCTAGCCAGTCCCACCTAAACCCCACTCACATTCTTCTCTCGGGTGGCAGCCGGTACCAACACATCAACATCCGTGTGGGCATTTCCTCTGCCGGGTGGAATAACACAACTGCGCACCATACTTGGGGTGAGAAAATTCACCTACCTTGGTGGCGACGCCGGCGGAGTATAAAAGGCGAGTGCTGAGGGAAACGGCTGCTTTTTCAGCGCTTGGACAAGATTAGGTTTATATTCTGGGTCAACACACCACAACGAACCTTTTCCATTCACCTGCAAGAAAGAAGTACTGGAAATTAGAAAAATCCAGAGGCCAGGCTGTTACAGTGATTTCTAATTTAATATTCCCAAGATGCAGCACAGTGCAACGATGAAGGCATCCACCGCTGTGCAGCTGATGTACATCATCCTCGGGCAGCTCCATCACCTGCATGGAAAGTGATGCTCCCAAACTGAGCATATGGTCCCGAGGCCCTCGTTATACAGTATGGAAGCACCCATCTTGCAGCTTGGGATAGTATCTCCAAAGCCCGTTCTCTAAAGCCCCATTTCCACTCATGTTCATCCACTGAACTCTGTAAGCCTTATGTAAACACTTGTTAAATACAGCGGTAAATTTAAGTACCTGTCCAGGCATCGATGAATTGATCAGTAGTCTTTTAACAGGTTTCCAGGTAAGAAACCAAAGTGCCTTTCCCTTTGCTTAGATATAGCCACACACTCATTTAACTTTACACTACCCTGTCAAAGCAACTTGCCGGATACCCAGCTACAAAAATGGATTATTCCCACTTTTTTCAAAAACAGAAAACCTAATTGATAGATTTTTCATGCACCCAACGATGTAAGCACCACTGTGCTAGTCATTCTTGACATTAAATTTGATATGCCAAAAGTTAAGCAAGATAAAGCACCTCCTGCTCCTCTCAAGGGTTTCTTCACATATTTACTATATAAAGAAACAACCTGTTTTTTGAGCCTGCTAGTCCTTGCAACATAGAGGAAAATTAATAGGTAAAGTTAAAACAATTCTGTAACCGCTGACCTGGCAGATCAGCTAACACCTCTATATATAGGTAGTGGTGCCAGGTTTTTTTGTGGGGCAGCAGATATTACAGGGGTGGTCATGCACATGGCAGAAGGATGGGGCAGATCTGCACCTGAATGGGAAGATCTTTCTATAGGATTTTTTGGGGGAAAAGTCTCAGAGCAAAAACCCAAGCTTTGTGGAGCATCTCCTGAGAGCCCACAGAGACCAGCTGGCCTCCTCCTGCCTGGATCAAGGGGATATTAATACCATTTTATGGATGGATACTCCGTGACTTATTTAATAATGAAAAGGACCTACAAAGCATGTAAGTTCATGATCCTGTTTAAGTCACAGGACTTTAACGAAAAGGAAGTATTTTGTTATCAACAGTGAAAAGTCAAATTAGGGAGAGCTCCAGCTGTTTCAGAACAATTCTAACTGCCTGCTCATTTTGAGATGGGAGAGTCAAAACTGTCTGGTGGCTGCTCTGTGCTGATTCTGGAGGGATGCTTCAGTAGATGCTAAATAAATGTTACATCTACATTTCATCTAGCATGTCACACAGTTGCCCCGCTGTTGACGTGAAATAGTAACCTCCAAAGGCAGTTTAGCATTTGGGATCATCTAGGCTTCACCTTTGCTAGAAGAAACAGAATCACAGAATGGTCAGGGTTGGAAGGGACTTTTGGAGATCATCTAGTCCAACCCCCCTGCCAGAGCAGGGTCACATACAGCAGGTTACACAGGACGGCATCCAGGCGGGTTTTGAATGTCTCCAGGGTTGGAGTCTCTGCCGCCTCCTGGGCAGCCTGTTCCAGTGCTCTGACACCCTCAAAGTAAAGAAGTTCCTCCTCATGTTTCGATGGAACTTCCTATGTTCAAGTTTGTGCCCGTTACCTCTTGTCCTGGATCATCAAAGATGATCCAGGACAAGAGGTAACGGGCACAAACTTGAACGTAGGAACTTGAACATAGGATTATCCTTGATGATCCAGGATAGCTGTGTGTCTGACCAGTCTGTCTTTTGAAGGAGGTCCTGGACCAGCTCCAGCCATGCTGTGCCAGAGCAGGGTCACCTACAGCAGATTGCACAGGATGGCGTCCCGGCGGGTTTTGAATATCTCCAGAGTGGGAGACTCCACCACCTCTCTGGGCAGCCTGTTCCAGTGCTCTGACACCCTCAAAGTAAAGAAGTTCCTCCTCGTGTTTTGATGGAACTTCCAATGTTCAAGTTTGTGCCCATTACCTCTTGTCCTATCACTGGGTACCACTGAAAAAAGACTGTTCCCATCCCCCTGGCATCCTCCCTTTAAGTAATTATAAGCTCTGATAAGATCCCCCCTCAGTCTTCTTTTCTCTAGACTAAAAAGACCCAAGTCCCTCAGCCTTTCCACATAAGAAAGATGCTCCAATCCCCTAATCATCTTAGGAGCCTTAAACGGCACAGTCTTTTTTTTGTTGCTGTGGTTAGACCGCTGGTTTGTTTTAAAGCTGGATGTATCTGTGTTTTATGGGTTTTTCAGCTGGAGTTGTGGAGAGCTTTCCCCTAACGCCTGGCACTAACTTCAGATCTGTGTTGGCTTTCCACTGTGCGCCTTTGCTGAGCAGCAGACGCGAGTGAGACGGCGCACACCAGCAGCCCCACGGGCACCAGCTCTTTTGCGGGTGTCTGCTTTAGTACAAATAACGGTGGGTGGAAGCATGGTTTCACTTTACACCTAACCCAGTTTTACTACCCAAAGACGAAGTCGCTCTGTTTATCACTTTTCATATTGGGTTGAGTCTGTATGGCTTCAGGGTATGCCCTGATTCAGCTCACGGTTGCCATACCCACCCAAAAATCAGGGCAGCAAGCTGGCGGGAGTAAGTGGCTGGGATGACGAGAGAGGGGAACTAACCCCATTCTG